GGAGAATTGTAGGACTTACAGCAGTACGCCTACAACCCTTCTCAGGTTGACGCCCTAGGTTGGAAAATCGTCGCAGAGTTCATTTGCTAACTTCCTTCTATCAGCTATATCCTCAAATCTGAACGGCAACACGTTCATGTCATTGTATCGTAGAATATAGATGACGAACAAACACACGGCATATCTCATCGACCAAGTGTAGAAACAGAGTAATTTACACCAAAGATAATAGCATTCAATTAGTAACTTGAAACTAGAAGTGCCTTTATTCATGCAGGTCAATTTAACAATTACTCTCTCGTTTACACTTGGCTTATCCTCACTAAACTGAGCAATATCTTTCGTCTTTTCAAACGCACCAATACTATCATAGTCATTGCAGAAGATACTTGAGTTGATGGGCATCTGATTCATTGTGGATGAAAACACCAACGATGACTGAGTGACACAAGGTGATGAACTTAGCGGTGGATCAGAAGCTGTTCTTTTTCGGCTTTCAGATATTTGTCCAACTGCAAGATTACCACCACTGCTGTCTTTTACTATCAGCGCCGGTTTAGCAATAGCATCTGATGATAGGTGGGCTACACGCTGATCAATTACACTGACGGTCCCACAAGTATGCATACCTTCTGGAACTGCATCTGCGTTCAATTCTACTTCACGTTGTAGTTGTACAGGACCTTTATTTAACTTAGCAGTAATAGGCATATCCCTCATCTCATCATGATCAACCAAAGACAACTGTGAAGTATCATGATCATTATCACGAATATTCACTTTACCGTCAACTTCATCATTTTCAAACTCTTTAATAACAGAAGTAGACAATTTTGGTTCCTCCTCACAAATCATTAAAGGTTTCATATCTTCACTCTGACTAGTTATACCTTGTGAACTTTTGGAGTCAGAACTGCACTCTGAAGCAGCAACTCTATTCTGTGACACTCTATTCAACAATGGCTTACCAGTTGCAACTACAGACTTCTTCACCGCACCGTTATCGTCATACAATTCGGAGTCAGACCTGGATCTCACATTTAGCTTATCTTTGAACTTGCTCACTGGTTCACAGTTCACCTTTGTATGCACCTCTTGCAAACGTGTAAAACACAACCGTGTTTGTCTTGCATCTTGTAACTTATCTGTTGAGGATGTACTACGAAACCTGTTACACTCACTAGGTCTATATGCATTACTAGACATCATAGAGCCTTCTCGATATCCACCTCTCTGAGGCCTATTCGTCATCAATGTTTGCGTTTTTCCCTCAGACTGCTCTATTCTATGGGTGAGATCTAACAGACTGGCGAACTTGCTCATCGATTGATTGACACTAGTATTTACCAGTTTCAGGATATCATCAAACTTTGGCTCGATACCCTCATCCTCCATACGGGAGCTTATCTTCACCCACTTCCTTTGTAGTCGAGTAGGTAGACGTCTTGCTATTACTTCTAGTATAAAACTCGAGTTGAGGTCACTCATTCGATTCATCGAAATCAATGCATTCTTGTAGATTAGCAAATTATCTAAAAACTCAGTGAGTGCCTGGGAGTCATCCTGTAATTGACCACCAATACCCTTAACAGCCTCGAATAATTTCCCTGCAATCATCGAAGGTCTTCCAAACCTTTGACGTAATATGCTCAGAGCCTCGTAGTAGCCCTCTTTTGGCTTCATAAACGTACAGCACTGTATAGCTCTTGCAGCATCTCCAGTGCAATATCTCATCAAATACATTAACTTCAATTCATCATTTAATAAAAAACCACTCAACATGATCTCAAACTCCTTTACAAATTGTAAATAACCATCTGGGTTTCCATCGAAACACCGTGGTTCTAATTTAGGGAGTTTGATGTTCCTATCATCCCTGAACGGCGAAACAGCAACATCAACCATGTCATGCTTAACACCAGACACATCGTTACAATTAACAGACAAGTCACCATGACTTACTTTCCTGTTTGTATCCAAGACACTCTGTCCCTTCTTTGACCCAGGCATTGTTGAACTTGACCCAATTCCAAAAACGTTCCAGATATTGCTTGTTGAAAGAGGACTTGACCGGCACCGGGAAAAATGAACGGCGACTATGCAAACTTTCACCAACTGTTTGAATCCGCCAGATCTGTTTCTATCGTCAGAAACTGTCAATCACGTCTCATAAACCGTTAATGCCCAGCTCTCGCTACGCTCGGGCCCACGCTGTTCTTCGAAGATTTCGGAAACGCTTAGTTATAACGGACGCAAAAACCAAAACACCGATCTGCCGCTTGATATTTGTTTATTGTTACACCAACATATAAAAGGAATAAGCGAACTAAGGTCTGAAAACAAATATTACAATAATAAATCATTGTATTACTTCTGATGGTTTGCTTCTGACTTCTTTCTGAACAGCGACCGATGAGACGATGACTGTCGTATTGAGGCCTCCGCGAAAATTGGGGAAGTTGATTTTGAGCAAACAACCATGAATTGATCGTTCAATCTTCAACTCCATTGACAGCTGGTCTGTCGGCCGCAAACACCACCCATTGGACTGAATCCCTTCCGTTAGTTCTCCTAGGGATACGAAACGCCTTGAAAACTGATGCTGGTTGTACTAGCGCCGAGCTATTATATGGCACGACACTACGACTGCCTGGTGAATTTGTTTCTCCGTCGAGCTTCCCACCAGTGGTAGATCACGCTTCATACGTCAGCAGGCCTACAAACGCAATGCGTTCAGTTAAACCTGCTCCCCTTCGTCACAGTCCATTGATGTTTTCGTTCATCCGTGTTTGAAAACTTCTTCACATGTATTTGTTCGTCGCGACTCTGTGCTCAGACCCCTGGAACCCCCATACGACGGACCTTATAAGGTAATTAAACGTTCTGATAAATTCTTTGTCTTGGACAAAAACGGCCGCGAGGACACCGTCAGCATTGACCGTCTGAAACCGGCTTACTTGGAGGGTAATCCTATTAGCATAGGGCCCACCCGAAAGGGAACCATCGAGTATTTTTACTTCTGGCTGGTTCTGTCTTAGGGTCCTCACGACCCCACTAGGGGGGAGTGAGCTGTAGCGGTAAATAATTCCCCAAAACTATTGACCACAGCAATCACTCATTGGATGCTGACCACCACTGTTTAATTCGACTTGTTTAGCTGAAGGCTTCCGGTCAAGCATCCCCGCCATTTGGTACCCCGTCGTGTAACGTGCACGATCACTAGCTAGCTAAGCGTTCGTCTAACGGCTTGTTTTGGTCCCTAAATATATCTCTTGGTTTGGACGATCAATTATTGGCTTTTGCTTTGTCTTTGGTACGCGAGAATAAATTAATTAGAAGTTGTTGAACGAGATATCCGTCAACCTCTAAAACACAACTACACCAAAAAGCATTGACCTTGCCAGAGATCCGACATAACTGTGTTACCACAGTCGCTCAGAAACAGACATCATCCTGCCCTTACCTTCATATAAAAATAAAAGAATCTAAAGCTATACCATAGTCTGTTCTCAGATGAATAACTTTTCTTCCGCCCCGCAGAGTGATTTATGAAGCAATTTGTCCTGAGTGGAAAATATCATGGAATCAAAGAGTCTCATTGTTTCTGGTGACAGGGACTGAGGTCATACCTTCTGTGGCTTTACTAAACCTAGTTCCAGGTCCTGCCAGGTCTAGGCAAACTCATGGATACAATATCTGCGAAGACTTTGAGAAGTGCCCCATGCACCGAGTCTGGTGAGATGAAGCGGCTGGTTGCCGTGTCTCCACCACTCAAAGCTATAAATTGACTCTCATCTGACGAGTGGTTGACAAAAAGCAACACGTGAAAGAACGCGATTGAAAAATGAACTGATTTGAGAGTATGGGATGCCAAGAGTAACTGCACCCGGAACAACAGTGAGCGCTGTGTGGGAAGGCGAAGATAAGGGTATTAACAAACTAGAATGTGTTTGAATTTATCCCATTCAAGTTTCAAAGTGAATCAATGGATCTTTTTCAGTGAGTAGAGAGAAGGGTCATGACAATCCTCCAGCAGAAAAAATATCATGGAAACCTGCAATGAGCTACATAATTGCTGTCTAAGATACTTTGAAATTAGTGTTAAAAGTAGAATCCAACACGAATTAAGCAGTCTAGGTGATCGAGCGATAAGCGACAACTGACTTTTAATCTGGATAGGTACTCAGTGGAATATTCTGGTTGTTAGAAACCCAGCATTTGTCCGTATATGTATGGTAACCTCCTCTTACACCTTAAACAGACACGCATCTTGAAATAAAGTAATAATAATTTAAATTTCGCATAAACGGGTACGTTTACAAGAAATGTATGCCATTTTTACAGGCACCATCAGTTATGTTAAAAATTATAATCGTGAGGTATCACATATCAGCACTTTTTCAAATGTTGAAATTGTTCGATTATTATACAAGCAATCGGGACAGGTTCGTATAAATATTCAGTTGTAAACTGTTACCTAAGGTCACCATCGAAGTCGAGCGACAACCCAAACTTCGTTCCGTTTCCTGCTGATAGTTATGGTCATTTAGTGAACAGTGTATAATTAAGTAAATGCTGTACCGCCACGTGGTTAAAAGCCATTTCAGGAAAAGGAAAGCGCTCTGGGAAGCTGCAAAATGGCATAAAATGCAATCATGGATAATGCATCACTGAGACTTCATTTACAAGATATATACGAAGAGGGGCTATAGAGTACTTGGAATGATAGTATACTTCTGCTATGTCTAATGCCAACCATATTGATCTAAGCATGGAAACTATGACGTTTTCGATGAATGTATGGCTTTCTTTAAACACCTATGTTGTTATGTTGTTTAACAAAGCAACCAGAGTTTAAGCAAGCAACGATCATGAACAAAGGGTTACTTTTAGCCTTAATAATAGGTAGTTCTTGGCGGTACGTTCGAAATTGGTGACATTTTTGCACGTGTTTGCTCTGAAATTTATTTACTGCTTATTGTCATATAATTCTTGAAATTATGGTCCAAATCTCTAAAAAACGTGTTCGTAGAAACACAATTGTTTTAGATAGTGGCTTAAATTCGGTTATAACTGCATTACCGCCTGGTAATACAGTATCAACTACTAGCTCTCAAAATGGTTTGAGTGCAGATCTCACTCCTGTGATACAGGTGAAAGATGTTCTGTTAGAGAACTCTGAGTTCTGTAAACTAAACCTCCTTTTGAAAGATATGCAGAGGCAAGTAAGTGAAATTCAGAAAAAATTAGATCAGTTTGATAGTATGTCACTGCCAATCTCAAATACCACGGAGAGCCGTTCTGATATTGGCCAGGTTAAGTGTTTACTGGATGTAACTCAAAATAAGCTTTTGAATTTAGACCCAATAGCCTGTCTTTTAGAAAGGCATCCTAAAATATCTCCAGACAACCTAAATAAAGCTGAAAATCTGATTGACTGCTTGGCTACGGAGGTGATGAAGCGTATAACCTCTTCTCACCAAGCTATAGTTTACAACGTCCCAGATTCTCTGCCCCTGAAAACTGTAAGACACAAAATCCTGATTTGTTGCGGCATGGCTAGTGTTCCATGTGAATGCAAACGACTTCGTAAAAAGTCTAACCAGGCTAATTGCCCAATCATTTTTAAATTCAGTAATTCCCTTGATGCTAGTAAGTTTACTAAATGTCAGGATCACTTAAGACTGAATAGCAGTTATAAGTCTATAACCGTAGCTCAGGATAAAACACCGTGTCAGCGCAGAATAATGCGTAGTAATAACCTGGTCACCTCCTCTAGCTTTGATTTACCAAATAAGGATCGTGCACAGCAACAGACACCTAGTGCTGAAACTAGCATTCAGCAAACTACACAACAACCACACCTGCCAATGGAACTAGGAACTGATTTAGATACCAGTACCCCTGTAAATAAAGCCTCATCGAAAGATGTTAAAATGACTAGAACTTCTGCAAGTTGTTCTAAGAAATTTCCCCCCAAACGTAGTAACCTCACCACGATGAACAAATTTCGCAGGGTTGAGACTAATGATGGGGAAGAATACTTTGTATTCAATAAGCCTGCTGAGAGTAAGAATGCCAACAAACCATCACTTGTTACGAAAAACTCCTCTCGAAACATAAGTACATCTGGAGGTGTTCCGCATGCTCCACCTTATAGAAAGTCAGGCTCCAAGACTCCTAAAGTCTTGCAGCCAAAGCACCTTCCTTCACAATTCCCTTTAAGTTATAAAAACAACCCGAAGGTGTATACCGGTATGACGAATAGCAGTTGGATGGGTAGACCTTTTGATGCTATGCCTTTTAACCGTCAACCTAGGCCCAACCTGTACTACCCTTATATCCAGGAACACATGGTAAATTTTCCAGGTGTCCCGAATCACTGGTACGACCCATGGCACCTAGGACCACCTCATTGCACACCAACCCGATGTACAGACACCCAGTCCGACCTCCTTTTCATTCATAAATTCTTGCGGTGCTGACGCACAAATAGATTTAGGTTATGGTGACATTTTAAGCCAGTTTGTAGTATCCCGTGACTTATTCACGATATTGCTAATTAATGCACGTTCCTTAATCAATAAGATATCTGAACTAAGGACATTATTATTAGTCGCCAAGCCTACTGTAGCTCTGATTACTGAGTCATGGTGCTCATCCTCTGTACTTGATGTGCATATAGGTATCGATGATTACACTGTACACCGTGCAAACAGAGATTGCAAGCGTGGTGGAGGATGTCTCATATATATACATAGCTCATTTGTAGTCAGTAAGGTGGAAGATGAAACAATGAATAATGTACCTGACTCACTCTGGGTTGTCTTACATGGAGATAAGTACAAACTTCTCATAGGCTGTGTTTATCGAGCACCAAGCTCAACAAAAGAAACTGATGCGTTATTAGCTAAATCGTTTGCACACGCATCCTCGTTTAGTGCTAATTACAAAATAATTGCAGGGGACTTCAATCTTCCAGAAGTCAATTGGCTAACTAGTTCCGGCCCCCAACGCTTCGACGAATTACTTGCCACTATAGACTGTTATGGATGGCAACAACACGTCCAGACACCTACTCGTGGTGACAACATGTTGGACCTTGTTTTTTGTCATGACACAATCCCAGTATCCACGTATGTTGGTAATCGATTTTCCAGTAGTGACCATAGAATGGTACTCTGCTCTCTGCCTTTCTCACCACTAAATACAGGAAACAAACAAGACTCAGGAAGCACAATATGTCGTAGTTACAAATATACAGACTGGGGATTAGTCCAAGAACTTATTCGACTCTGTCAATGGGATGACTATTTTACCACTGACTCCCTGGAGGCCTTAGTAACCCTGTTTTACAGGAATGTTACCCTTTGTCTAGATACAGTTGCTCCAAAGAAAATAGTGAAATTAAGTAGACACCGAACTGAATATATTCCAAGGGCACACCGTAATAAGTTAAGGAAACTGAAGAAACAGTACTATTCCACTAAGGACATATCACTATTGCTCTCAATCCACGAGTCTCTTGAATCTCTCAAGCGCCTACGCTCTCAAAAGGACCTCGACGAAGAGTTAACGGCACTTGAAAGTACCTCCAAAGTTTATAACTTAACGGCACTTCTTAAAAAACGAATGCAGTCGGCGAGGGAAATCCCATACTTACTTCACGACAAAGTAATCTACAATGAACCTGCCACTATCTGTGAACTCTTCAGTGATTGGTTTGCAAACTTTAGTTTAGAAACACATATGCCTGGTGAAACCGCTCCCCTTACTATCTCTTCCCTTGAAAGCATTGTGTTCACTAATCAGTTAATAGTACAAGCAATTAAAAGCCTTAAACCTTCCACTAGTACGGGACCGGATGGCCTCGCTTCGATAATTTTCAAAAACAGTGGGTGTGATATACCCTTGTTACTTCTTAAATTCTTCTCAATATCTATGGACACTGGCACTTACCCTAGTGAGTGGAAAACTAGCTTCATAATTCCACATTACAAATCTGGTGATAGGGCAAACGTCCGCAATTACAGACCCATAAATATAACCCCAGTTATCTCACGAATCATGGAGAAAGTTGTAAAAGATCAATTGTCAGACTACCTAATTAGGGAAGATCTTGTTACAAGGTCTCAACACGGATTTCTCAAAAATAGATCCTGCGTTACTTGCCACTTCGACTTTTTCAACTGCATCACTAGTAGTCGCGAAGCACGTAAGCTAGTCGTTGTTCTCTACTTCGATATATCTAGGGCATTTGACATGGTATCTCACAGTATTCTCTTTGAGAAGCTGTACTCTTGTGGAATTCGCAACCCATTACTGAACTGGTTAAAATCATTTCTAAGCAACAGGGTACAAATAACCAAAGTTGGATCTGTATTGTCTCATCCTAGGCAGATCTCAAGTGGGGTCGTGCAAGGTAGTGTCCTAGGTCCACTTTTATTCACAGTCTACATTAACAGCATTTGCAAGTGCTTCACCTCAGGTAAACCATTCCTATATGCTGACGACCTCAAAGTCGTCTACTCCTGCTACACTCATGAATTAAGCGATATGGTTACTAAAATACATCTTGAACTAAGTAGCCTCGCAACATGGTGTGCTGAATCCTGTCTAAATTTTAACATTGACAAATGCGGCTGGATTTGTATCGGCAACAGTAACCTTGATCTAACTCTTGAAATAAATGGGCGAAAACTAGCTAAGCTCAATTCAGTCGTAGATCTCGGTATTAGATACTCTAGTAACCTAACGTTCGCTGAACAGACTGATTATGCCAGACGTAAAACGCGAAGGCTGATAGGATGCATAACACGCAATTTCTTTTGTTGTGAAACTAGGGTTTTATTATACAAAGTATGTGTCCGACCTATCTTAGAATACTGCCCGTTTATTCTTAGCGGACTAAGACAAAATGACAAGCTTAAATTAGAGGGAGTGCAACGGCAGTTTACCTCAAGAACTCTTGGTTTAGAAAGTGGTCTGGAATACCATGAGCGATGCGACAGACTAAGATTAGAACCCCTCTGGAAAAGACGCCTTAAGCTAAACCTTATCTTTTACTATAAGCTAACTAATCTTCTCTTGCATTCCTCCGAGCCAATAACTAAACCTACCGCTGTCATCAGTTACAATCTTAGAAATCATCACAACCTAGCTGCTATGGAGCACTGTCAGACTTACGTGCGGTACAACTTCTTCTTAAATAAGTTTTCAGTCATTTGGAATAGACTACCAGCTAATGTGCGCGATGCAAACACACTTCCAGTGTTCATCTCCTCAGTCACCAGACTACTCAAAGATGACAATGCACTTTTGCGCCTGACTCTTACACCTTCTTTTTCACCCTACATAGATATTTTAAGTTCTTTAAACGTGTAGTTACAACAAACTACAATTATAAATTTTAATATTATTGGAACTAGATGATTAACATTTCTACACAGGACAGTAATATTAGTTTACACATAATATAAAAGTTAGCATAACGGGACTAGTTAGTTTGTGTACCAAAATAACCACAGTTACTAAACCGAAAAGTCTCCGCAAGGACCGTGAACAGTGGTGGGCGACAAAAGCCAAAGAGATGGAGAAAGCTTTGAGGATAGGCAACACCAGGCAACTCTTTGGACTCATCAGGGAAACGGGTGGGAGAAGACAAGTCATTAGTGAGACAATCTCGGAAAAAAATGGCACTATAATTAGCTCCCAGGATAGACGACTGGATCGTTGGAAAGAGCATTGTGAGGAGCAGTTTAATTCGCCCACAGCCACGCTCAACTTACCGAACATACAACACCTCCCTGAATGGGATATAGACACAGGTCCTCCGTCACTAACTGAGGTTACTAAAGCTGTCACCAATCTGAAACTAGGCAAAGCAGCGAGACCTGATGGAATGACTCCAGAGGTATTTAAGTACGGTGGAGACAGCTTACTGTCCGGATTAACTGAGGTACTAGGCAGCGTTTGGGAATCAGAAGAAGTCCCATCGGGTTGGTGTAAGTCACTGATTATCCCCATATACAAGAAGGGAGACAAGTCTTCCTGTGATAATCACAGAGGGATTAGCTTGACTAATATAGTATCTAAAGTCTTAGGCTCAATAATCATGCGTAGACTGAGTGGTGCTCGGGAAGCACAAACACGAGAGAGCCAGGCAGGCTTTGGACCAGGAAGAGGGTGTATTGATCATATCTTCACCCTCCAACAGATTCTAGAACATATAGGCATTCTTACCGGCGTCCAACAGTCATTATATTTCTTGACCTAAAGGCAGAATTCGACTCTGTCGATCGGGAAGTTCTCTGGAGATGCTTGGCTGTCAAGGGAATCCCGAGAAAATATATTGCACTGATTAAGGCACTCTATTCGTACTCATACAGCCAGGTGAGGGCTTACGGCGAGCTGTCATCTGAACTGATGACGACCAGTGGTGTCCGTCAAGGATGCCCATTATCTCCTTTTCTATTCAACTTCATCATAGCTGTGTTAATGGACTAGGTGACTTCAGCGATTCAGGGATTGACTTGCTACCTGGGAATAATCTCGTTGACTTGGAATATGCAGACGATATAGTCCTTCTAGGCGAAGACGCTGACGAAATGCAGAGTCTTCTAAACACCTTGAGCCGCAATCTACGAATGTTTGGCATGCGATTCGCTCCCGCCAATTGCAAGATGATGTTACAGGACTGGACTACATCGACGCCTAGTTTAAAAATAGGAAGTGAAGTGGTAGAGCACGTTGACCGCTTCACTTATTTGGGAAGTACCATCAGCCCCAACGGGCTGATCTCTGACGAAATCTCAGCACGAATACAAGAGGCTCGTTTCGCATTTGCCAGTTTACGCCGACTCTGGCGTAGACGAGATGTTCGACTATCGACCAAAGGGCGGGTGTACTGCTCATCAGTCCGCTCCGTCCTCCTTTATGGTTGTGAGACCTGGCCACTGAGAGTGGAAGACATGAAAAGACCACTAGCTGTCTTTGATCATAGGTGCCTGCGTTCTATTTCCCGTGTAAAGTGGCATAATAAGGTGAGCAACATGGAGGTTAGGCGTAGAGTTCTAGGTAAACAGGGGAAATCAATCGACGAAGTCGTGAAGCTACATCGACTGAGATGGTTAGGACATGTGTTACGTATGCCAAGTCATCGCCTCCCTCGACGAGCTATGTTAGCGGATATAGGGTCAGGCTGGAAAAAAGCTAGCGGCGGTCAAACAAAAACTTGGCGCCAGTCAATGAAATCCACAACAGTTGGTCCAAGCCACGTAGAAAGGTGTAGACTTCCAGGCTGGGGTCCTCGAGACGGTAAAAATCTATGTTTGGAAACAATTGGTGACATGGCTCAAAATCGTTCTCAGTGGCGCAGATGCATCCACTCCCTGTGACTTATGATCTTCAATGAAATTGTTTTGTATTTCTTTATTACTCCTTTGTCTCACACCTCTGCTCACTGTTTCTATTATGCTTTTCTTGT